AAAAAAAAAAAAAAAAAAAAAGGTGGGGAAGTGTATACAGAAATGACTTGTCTCAAACTAACCGTTTGTTGCTGTCAAAATCCAGCTTGATTTTTAGAAACGGTGGTTGGTTGGTACACCGGCATCACATCAATACTTTACCAGATCGAAAGGCAGTGGGGAAGTGTATACAGAAATGACTTTGCCCGTAGATAGTCCTATCTCAAGGGTCCCGACCTCCGAGTCCGCCACAGTAGAAGAAAACCGGATGCTACGCCTCCGAGTGATGGAGATGTGGGACGCTTGGACAAACGGAAAAGACCCCCCTAAAGCCATCCCTGGATTTCCCGAGTTGTCCCCAAGGCCAACAGGAACCTCCAATGTTCCAATCAGTCATCCGAACATCCCATCAGGACAGCCTGCTATATCTACTCACTCTGTGGGAGGCACTTCTGGGGTTCACCTCCAAATGCTCATGCCCGGGACGGCTCCCAACATCTTCACGGCTCCACTATGCTCTGCCACAGTACAACATTCATTGCCAGAGCCTGTTTTTGATCCTTGGGTGTTCCCTTTCCAGAAACCCGTCCTGCCTACAGATCCACCATCATCTGAGATTACCGTCGAAGCTCCCAAACAAGATGAAAAGTATGATGGGCACGGTGATCCCATCGCTCACTTGAAGAAGTATTGCAATCAACTGCGGGGGGCCGGTGGCAAAGAAGAATTGTTGATGGCATATTTTGGGGAAAGCTTAATTGGCATTGCTTCAAAGTGGTATATGGACCAAAACGTCTCACGATGGCACATTTGGGATGATCTGGCCAGAGATTTTATTCTGCAGTTTCAGTATAATATTGACATCGCGCCGGACAGGAATTCTTTGTCAAACTTGAAGAAGAAACCCTCAGAAAGCTTCGGAGAATATGCTATTAAATGGCGCGAGCAAGCATCAAGGGTGAAACCTCCCATGGATGAAATAGAAATGGTCACTGTCTTCCTCCAGGCTCAGGAGCCATATTACTTCCAAAACATGATGTCGGTCATGGGTAAACCTTTTGCAGAGGCCATCAAAATTGGTGACATGGTAGAACACGGTTTGAAAACGGGTAGGATTTTAAGTCAGTCGGCCATTAGAGAAACCTCCCAAGCCATCCAATGCGGGTCTGGAGGAATGGCCAAGAGCAAGACAAGAAAAGAAACAACCATGGCGGCATCAAGGGAAAGAAGATACTGGATTGCTAGACCACAGGCTAACAGAAATCAACCTCCATTCCAAAGAAACCAGCCTCCTCACCAGAACCACTATAATCCTCGACCTCCCCAAAATAACTTTCGTCCCCGGGGACCACCCAAGAGACCTAACTATACACCTATCGGTGAATCCTATTCCACCCTGCTCCCTAAGCTTGTCCAGATGAATCTGCTGCAACCCATACCTCCAAATAGGCAAAACCCGAAATCACCTTCATATCAGCAGGGAGTCAGGTGTGCATACCATTCAAGGGTAGAAGGGCACGACACAAATGATTGTTGGACTTTGAAAATGGCAGTGGAGAACTTGATAGAGCAAGGAAAAATAGTGCTAAGGGGTGAGGAAGTTCCCCATGTGACCAATAATCCGCTGCCCGCTCACGATGACGGGCCGATAATTGGGATGATTTCTGAGGTCCAAGAATTTGATCCAGCCTTAAAAGCTATAATTGCTATTGCCGATGCGGAAAAGAAGCCCAAGGCAGCCTCGAAACAAGAGAAAGGGGAAAAGAAGAGTAAAATCGCCGAGACAGAACAGGAAAAGGAAATTGATGTACCCAAGCAAGCCTCTGTGGTCCGGGGGACAATTAAACCGCTTTGGCTGAATGAGCCAGTGGTTATTGGACGCGTGCCACAGAAGCCAATAACAGACCCTGCTGCGATGTCATATAAGGGCAAAGAGATCTTGGGAAAGCTTCAAGAGACGGAAGAAATGTGTGGGGCGATGAGGAAAATGCTTCATGAAACCCACATAGTCCAGTCAGGAGAGGGCACCAGCACCGCTGAGGTATCATACACGGGACCCAGCACCAAGCTTCAAAACTGGAAAGCTACGCCAGGCAGGAGTCCCAGTAGACTCGTCTTGCCACTTCTTCTACATCACGAGTTATCTTAGGGTGTAACTCGGATGTTTTCTTTAAATTCCTGTCTTTAAATTCCTGAATGTCAACTCTTTTATCTTCTCAATTCCAAGAAATGAAATCAATATTTCATCGTTCACTTTCCTTGTTTCGTTTTTAGATTTTGCTAGGTTTTTCTTTTCAATGCAGCTTTAAATAACATGACATGCTCACGGACTTCATGCCCAGATCCCATGAACTCTGTCAGACTTCGACATGACGAATCAAAGTTGAAATAAAAAGAAGTCAAACTTGAGAAAATAAAAGAAAAGAATCAGAACCATTAAAGGAAAATTGGTTCATGGTTTAGGGAAGGTTTGCTCGCTGAAGCAGAGTTTGAGAACTGTGAGTGGGTCTGGATCCGTATGAAACGTTGACCTCAAATGAAACTGATGAATGCAGTTTGTCACTGGCAGTTTGTACCAACAATGACCCGCGTCCAGAAATTTTGAAGTAGGAAGCAAAAGGAAAATTTGCTCATAATTGGAAGGGTCCATACATCATTAGGAAGATACTGCCAAGAGGAGCATTATATTTGGGAGATATTGAAGGAAATGATCCTCAAACAACTGTGAGTGCAGATGCTATCAAAAGGAATTATGTCTGAGTTTGGCTTTGGTGAGTGATGTCTTTGCGCGTTGAAATGATGAAGGCTTTTATTCCCGCTACCCAAACACTATCAACCATTTGTAAACCCTTTGAGCCGGTTACATTTATTTGATTACCCTCTTTGGAACCTGAAAGTGTTTTTGAAAAAAAAAAACAAAAAAAAAAAAAAAAATTGGGAACTACGTTTGACCTGATTCCTCAAAGTGGATACGTAGGCGCCTCACAGCTCGGTCATGGTATGACAAAATGTCACGTTCTATTTTTTTTAGCATATATATTTGCCTGAACTACGTTCTGACTTGATTCCGAAAGGATACGTAGGCAACCTCTATCTGAGGTTCAGTCATACCAAAACAAAAATCCAATTTTCCTCGAAATCAAAACTGGGGCAGGTGTTAAAAATTCACCAAATGGTTCCAAAGTTGTATTTTGTCCACACTGCTTTCTACCCAAAACCAAGTACCAAGTCCTTCAGATCGACGCAAAGGCATGGAAACTAAGAAGCATCATTGTTCGAAAGCCGAAGCATTTCAAATTGAGAGAAATAAAATGAGAGTCTTATTGGTGAAAACCTTCTGGCACCATAAGGCGACGGGAGTAGAGAAACTTAAAATGAGAGAGTCCGTTAGTGAAAACTCGCAAAGAGCGCTATCGGGCGATGGTAAGAAGAGAAATGAGAGAGGTCGACTAGCGAAAACCCTCAAAGGGCGCTATCGATCGAAAAGAGGATTTCATCACTGAAGGTCCTGGCAAGGTTCCCTGGTTTGGAAACACAGACTCGTTCAGTTCAAGAACATGCAAGTTCGTGAGGATCGGGCATCCAGTCCAAGAAGCATGTCATGTCAGTTTGAAGTCAGCATGCACCTCAGATAAGTCTTTCTTTTTCTCCGAAAGGGACGCTTCTATTTTTGATTCATTTTACTCTCTTTGTTTACCTTTCCTTGAATCTCTTTCGGTTTAACCCTAAATTTCGAAGTTTGTGATAAAGAAAAAGGTGGTAGGACCGTTTGCAGGGCTCCGTCTGATAAGAGAAAAAATACCCGGCCTCAGCGGTGTTTGATCCAATCCCGACTGATCACGGTTTTGATTGCCCACAGAGTAAAAAATGCAAGAAAGGAAAAGCCCAAAGCAAATATCTTGAAGGCAGAGTCAAGGTGGAAAGACCAAATCTCTACGTGGGCAAATCATCATGAAATCCTGAAGTTTGAATCTTATCAGTTTGAAAGAAGGTCACCCTCAGAACCAATCAGCGACAAAGCTTCTCAACAGAAATGAGGCCAAGACCAAAACAACTGGAAAGATCAAGGCCACCAAACCAACCACCGTTTCAAACTGACAAGTGTTCTTTGTTTGAAAAGTTGAAACAGGTACCGTACATCCAAAGCAGCCATACGAGAAGCAGGTACGACCCAAAGGAAAGAAAAATGCGCGAGTGTTGAGGCAGCGTTGCAGCAAATAATCAATGCATAAGGGAAGTTTCCTCCAAGTTATTCCCCGTTTTGTGTATATATATAGTAAAGACAAAAAAAAAAAAAAAAAACCCAAA